TAACGTGACATTGGTCTTTTGTTGAAGGAATTTGTTTAGGATACTACTGTGAGCGTCATCCTCCTATATGGTTGCGAGACTTGGTTAGCTAGTGCTGAAGATGTCCGGCAATGTCTGTCAGTCTTCAATAGTCGCTGTTTGCGTAGTATTGCTCGCGTCTGGTTGCACTATCGGTAACGAAGAAATGCGTCAGAGAGTACTTGGCTTGTTCAACTCACTTCTGTGGATCACAATTTCAATACCGAATACGTCGCTTAGGGCATGTACGACGTTTGTCCACATAACTTCCACTGTAACGTGCGCTGTTCGCATGGGATCAACCAAATCAGACGAAGAGGAAGTTTATGCAACCAAGGACGTGGCGGAGGAAGATAAAAGATTCCCAACTTGTGGAAACTACAGTCGCCAAGACTTCCTGGTTTAGATCCGTAGCACTCCGAGACAAAGAGATATAAGTTGACAATGTATGAAAAATCAAACTGGTGCAATATATATATATATATATATATATGTTGACCGAGGACTATTTCATCACGGTGAGCACCTACGTGGTTATCGTTCTATTTCTATTGCGAATCATTCTATCATCTGACACTCACGGTTTCCATCCATTGACCAGGTTAAATCGGAGTGAAGAGTTCAATATAGGTCGGTTTTATGAAAACTATAGATCATGGATAGTAATGCCGTTGTCGTCCGTGACTCGCGTGGCCTTGAAAGATCATGATGAATGGTGTGTCTTTGTAGGCTTGTACTCGGCTCCCATCAGAATTTGGATTGCCCTCTCATTGCACAGCGGCTTGTATTCAATCAGTTATCATTCCTCTACCTGTTAAATGTCATTTTGCTGACATTGACTAGTCTTCAGGAAGTATATACGAGTGCAATCGGAAACGGGGGAACCACACACTTAACGGCGCACTGACGATATCCAGTGATGCTGTTCCAGTGCAAGCTGACCATACCTATGCCAGTGGAGCACCGTGTAGCGTATTCGCCAAACTCCAGACTGTCACTCACTCGGAAGTGCGTTATTTTCACACATTCATAGGTTCGTCATACAGAACCCGGTTCGTATAGATAAGGCGGTAGTTATTTGAGTCAAATCCTCATCAAGCTAGTATCATTTTGAGTGTTATTCTCTTGCTTATGAGTTGAAAAAGTTCCTCAGTTTTTCCAGGTATATGTGCTTTATGATGTTGCTGGAAACCTCACTAAATAGAGCATCACAGTTGCTTGTTTTAGCATACAAAGGTTCGCCATACCTAACTAAAGTCTCGAGTTAGTTTTGTCAACAACTTGGGTGGATCAGTCGATCAGTCCAGTTTAAACCAATCGTTCGGTCCAGCAGGCAGCATAAATCACACCGCCTACACAACTACCGTTACCTTCTGTACGTGTTCATAGATCTTCACTGAAGAAAAAACCATCCTGGTTCTTAGTACACTTGCCCTATCTAGGGTATAAACTTCGAAAGGAGTGATTTTTATAAATTTGACAGAAGTGCGTTCTGTTAGCTAACTTACGTTAAGGTTCTGGTCCCCTATTTTGTTGTGTTTTAGCTACTAAACCACATATGAGTAGCTTCAGGATTACCCTAATCCACTCATCGTATGGGCAGCCTCTATTGCTCTCTTGAACCCACACTAACACACTAGACCATAGTTTCACTCTTAGTAGAGCTCCTGTGCAGTTTGTATTCTTTGCTGTTCCACGATTTCATTCCTGGATATCCACCATTCGGGGCGAGCTTGTTGCTTTTCGCCTACGTCATACTGAACGATGTGATTGGTTTGCCCGGTGCCTTGATCGACGGTCTAATGCGTGTCCGGTTTGTATCGACCGATTTCCCAATTCTTTCTCGGAATGTTGAAACCTTTTGGACACATTTGTTTCATTAGTCGTGTGGAGTTTCCATATTCATAGAAGTAATACTTCCGTTTTGAGGCTAGAAGAACGAATTGCCACTCCATTGTTTTGCCCTCTATTTTGGAATAATCGGGACGATCAGTACAGGCTTTGAGATGTGTGTGTGTGTTTGTGTGCATTAGCCACATACTTAACAAGAGATAATTTGGCCGAGTGTATCTCGTGTGGCTAATGAAGTGTTCTGTTTGGTAATCTAAGAAGTTCCTGATCGCCTTAGGGAGCCTTCTGCTTCCGCAGGATCAGAAAAGTTCAGTCAGGTGGTTGTTCATATCTGTGTACTCCTTTCAATATCCGACCGGGAGGTGAAGATTTGGGAACAGCGGAAGAGCAAAATTTGGAGAATGCTGCCCGTAAAATAAGCAGATATCTTTTATGGAGTGATTCCGCGAATATTTCGTTTGGTCGAGTCTTAAAAAGATTGATAACCCATTCTTACCAAAATGATACAGGTATGATCATGTCAAGTATTATGAGGTCGCATACACCAAGCCGACTGTCGAACTGTACGTTAGCATTATCGTTCACGAAAGCTGCATCTATAATAGTCGGTTAGTAGGGATCGAGGAGCGTGGAGCAAGGACCCATCCTTATCTCCAGGTCAATGATAATTTCGAAACCAGTCGATCCATTCGTTTGTACCTTTACTCTCATTTTCTGATGCAGGCGTCGGGTGAGTTGGCAAAGTCCGGTGGACAGCCATATTTGGGAATAAGGGTCCGCAATGCTTCTCGGTTGATGGAGTCTAATGTCTTCGTAAAGTCTACGAAGAGGGCGTGCGGTGGGTGGCAATGTTCGCGGGATTTTTCATGAAGTCGTCGTGAGTTAACTACCAGGTCCAGTGTGCTACGAGCGGCACGCAATCCACATCGTTCTTCTGGAATGTGTGCTTCGATCACTTCAGCTGTAAGGCGTTTGAGCAGCAACGTGGCATGACTTTCCCACACAGCCCAGTAGACTGGTGTCCCTGTAGCTGTCAGGTGTAGTCTTCCTTCATAGAGTGCACGATTAGAGCGTTATCGAATTCTGGGGAACTTCTTCCCGTCAGATCTTGCTGGTTGGTTGAAGAGGTGCAGTATCCAGAGTGGGACCACCATACTTGAACCGTTCTACTGTAAACTGTCTCCTCCAACTGCCTTTCCATTACGCAATTGCATGTTCGCCTGCCGTATGTCTTCAGTAGTCGGAATGTCTGGTCGAATTGCTAATCGTCACCAGACAGTACGCTATAGAATACAGCCTTTGTTCGGTTGAATTGACACCGTATTCACTCTAAGATTTACTAGGTCCCCTATCGTATTAAAAAAGCGATTTACTTTTTGGTGAGACGCAACCCATAATCACCTGGAAGTGTCAACTTTTAACATCCCATTCGAGCTGATAAGTTGTTGTGCGATGTCAGCCTAATGGATTGCATTGCGATTATTCATTCTCAGTTTTTCTTTCCTGAAACTCATCCGTCGCAAAAGCCTGTATCNCGCTCTTCCAACCTTGCCTTTTCGGTTCTAAGTACAGTTTGAGTTTCACCCATAAATAACTGTGGGGTTTGTCGACTATAGTTTACCAAAAGTGCCCACTATTCCAATAATATCCCCCTCCCCCACTCTCAAATGTGTTATGTTGCACAATCTGCCCCAAATTCGGTACAACTCCTGCTGTTTCCCCTCTATGTCACTCACCCTCAATCGTGAACCTTACTGTGAACGAACCGGTATGTATTTGCCGGGCCATAGTCCGTCTTGAGAATTTCACTCACTAACCTCGAGTAATAGCTGGGTCAGTTCTATTCAGTGTTGGTGGGGTAGGGGGTGGGTGGGTGGGATATGGGTGGATGGGTTGATGAGAGGAGGTGCGATTCGGCACTCAACCGTGTTGGTTGGTATGCTGCATTACATCCCACAAAGTCTTGAAACGGGGATTCCTCAGTGGCCTCGATCAGGACATGTGTGTGTGTGTGCTTGCTCTATCTGCCGATGAGCGTGTATCTGGCTATCCATGTGTAAATAGCAGCTTCTCTGGTGTGTTATGTTGCCGGTTTTTAGGCCGCAGCTCTCTGCGTTTGCTGCCTTATTAGTCTAGAAATGGGTTATCAGTCCTTTGTTACTTGTCTTGGGAACAGGTATTGTCTGCTGTCTTAGTCTTACCGTTTTTTATGGAACTGTCTTAGATGAATGTCGGGTTTGCCTGTATTGCAACAGCCAGCTTGTTCGTTTCCAGACATTCCACGTTTTTTTCACGGTGAACGTGATGAGTAGGTGATGTGCATTATATGGACACACCTTCACACGTCAGCAGATGTATTGCTCAGGATTGATTTTATCATATACGACCTCATCATCACATATTAATCTAGTGATACGTCATGCAGCCGTTTCACTCTTATAGGCCGGAGGCCTGCTGTAAACTCACGTGGTCCAACGCGGCTGAACAGGCGATATTTTGAGGTTTTTAGCTTGGTCAATTACCTCAAAATTCACCACTGGATTGAGAGGTACACCGCATTATCGTTTGAGACTTTTTATTTGAATTTTCCACTTGCAGTGGATGTTTGAAAGTGCTTATTTTGAATACAACTAATGATTTGGAAATGTTGAGCTCTGTTAATACACAATGGTTCTTCAAGAACTGAACACTGGCTTATTCAGTTGGGGCATTTGGTAAACGTGAGCTTCAGAGCTCTTTATGGCTCTGATATTACATCCAAGAAGACCACATCCTACCTCTGGTTGTCTTCATGATATATTATAGTTTTCTCAAACCTTAGGGATTCGGGGCAAACTGCTGACATGCCACCATGATGGTCAACCAGTGTTCGCAGACGGTAGCTTCTTTTCTATTTTTCCTGGCGAATGACAGATCACAGGTGAAAAGCTTTGGTGGTTGTGCAAAACGAACTTTGAATTGATGTTCTTTACCTCTAGGGTATGTTCCGCAGGTTACCAAGAGACGCACCTTTGAAGACATGTGGAGATTTCACTACGATAAGTTCTCGTTGCAGATTTTCCCGAATTTTCGTCGTATAGGTCGTTGTAGAATAGTCCTAATTCGGTCTGCTTCCGTCTCTTCGTCACCAGCTTTCACGACGCACACCCTTGTCCCTCTTTCAACGTGAAGGACTTGGATACTGTTGACCAGACCGTCGTTTCATATGTTTCCTCTGCATTGGACAACTCCTCTGATTGGGATGTTCTGATTGGCCACATGTTGGGCGTTGATCACTGCGGTCATACGTACGGTCCGGCACACCCAGAAATGCGCCGAAAGCTGCGTGAAGTCGATCAGTTTGTCAGGTTTGTTTAAAATGGTTCTCTTTTGTACTCATACGTCCACCTAAGCGAGACCTCTGAACTATTTGCATTCACTTTGATGACGCAGCCTGTATTTCAATTTATTTAGCAGTGCAAGTCGAGGTAAACTAATCGTAATGGAGTTGGTATTCCTCTCTGCTTACTCTGCTTACCGAGCAAAAATGGTTCTTTCATGTCGACTTCTATTCCTCTTTCGAGCTGCATCTTCTTCAGTAAGGTGACGTTTTGGTTTCCCGAGCGTTTATTTGGGTTTCGCTGTCAAAATTACTTTCGGGCTATAATGCCATCTAATCCCCGTTGCGTCCCTTTTCTGGCCAATAGTGCTAAGTGCTGAATAATCCAAACAGTCAACGTCCATTGTGAGGTTTTCCATCCCAACGAAACAATACGTGGATGATTTTCGGAGCTTGAGAACACCTGATGAAACCCCGAAACGAAACACAAAAGCTTTATGTACCTATTCTGGACTGTCCTGGAGTGTGCTGTTTTGGATGTTAAACCACTCGAACTGGCCGGGGACTTTCAACAACGTCAAACAACCCCTGAGTTCCATCGTGTTCCCGTTTCTCTCTTCGTCTGTGTTTTTGGTTGACACTCAACTGCTACGTCAGTTGAAGCTGTAGTGCACTCGTACGCGGTTGAAATTCTGGGTTTCCCCTACGGCGTAATATAGAAGGCATACATAAACTTGGCTGACTCTGCTGTAACCCACGAAGTGAAAGTGAAAGACGGTTAGCTCAGTGAATGTGTCACAACAACATTCCTCGTGTTCCACGACCTGTGTTGGATATCATGGATGGCTAACCTCCCAGGTATAGGAAATCGGGATGGTGCACGACGTTGATTCAACTGTTACCGCTGTTGAATTCACCTATATATTTACCCTTAAATTCCACCGAACACTAGCGATGATGTCTCGACATTCACAAGTTCCTTGAACTGCCCTTTTTTGCGATAACTTTTTTCTGGAAGTGTGGAGTTGAATCCACATTCTGTCACTCGAAAGAACCAGTCAGTCTTGCTGGTTGGTACGTCTCCTATCGACTTGATTTTAAATAAACTCGTGTACGTTTGCCTTGTTTTGTTTCATAAATTGTTGATTCGTTACCGAGAAAAAGACCAATACATATTCGTTTACGATGTTTCTATGCAACTAAATGTGCTGGTGTTTCAGTTGGTACAATATTCGAGATATCCCGATACATGTACAGACGTAGTGCACTACTCATAGGGTTGCTGAAAATTCTTCGACAGCCCATGACCGATTTTGTCCCCCTTGGTGCTCATCAGGTAGGCGCAGTCCCTGGCTTTCCGTCAACCTTATGTTCCACTGGAACCCAAACTGCTTAAAAACATCATAAACAAGAGGTTCAGCTGGGCCTCATGTGAATCTCTCCGCAAAACCAAATTTATTTGCAAATAAGTGTATTTCGCTAATTTCGTGGAATTTGGATTCAAGTAGATCATAAGGTTGACGGGAACTCGGGGACTGTGCCTACTTGATGAGCTCCAAGAAGGGCGAAACCGGTTGTGGTCTGTCGAAGATTTTTCAGCAACCTCATGAGTGGTGTATTATGTCTAGAAATATATTCGAATGTTTTGGTGTACTGGGCGTATTCTTACCTTTATTTCAAATCCCATGCTGGTCCATTCGAGTAGTAGTTAGAAAGTTTCCTTAGTTGCTGCGATTACACAGGTGTCTCAGTCTTTATAGTGAAATTATTAGTTTTCATCCTTCTTCCTTACCACCTTGTGGACATCAGTCCAGCACGTATATGTCTGGCATATAGTCGAATGCTTTATGTTGTTGGTGTACACAACCTATGTACACATTTCCTCAGATGACTCAGTTCAGCCGGTGCTTGATCGTCAGCGTTGTAGGACTTTTGAACCTTGGACTCCGTTCGGAATTAGCATGAACCGATGTTTATTCCGGTTTTATCTCCGTTCCGTCCTCTCTCTACTCTCTGAATCTACGAACAGCGTACTGGTTGTCTGAGGATGTGAAGATTCACATTGTTTACGCTTCACTATACTTATTTATCTCTAATGGTTTCGACCATTTAACTCTGCAGGCTTCTGAACACCTGGATATTTGTATTTTGTGTTTGCCATACTCTTATCTCTTTTTACAGCCCAGACTTCTATAGTGTGATAATATAATCCCTCCACGTTGGACCAAATGTAATGACCTTTGCATAGAAATTATAATGTATGTGGAATATAGTTACTGCCAGATAAGAAGAAAAATTAACATCAGTATCGTGGGTGAGCCAACCAGCTTAAGCGGCTTGGTTGTGCCATGTTTCTTCCTACTTTTCATCCGTCTGAGATTACGCTGCGATTGAGTTTTATCGGCGCGTGTCCCAGTACATACGCGATTTCTGTTGTTGATTCTGTGACTTTTTACCCTAGTACAGGTGATTTAGGAGGGTTAGTTTCAAGGGTACAAGCCAACCAAACAGTCGGCTTGATATCTTGAAGTCGATTTTGAATCCGCATGCCGCCCACTTCGCCAGAAGCACGATTGGATCACGATGCGCAAAACACCATTCATTACTTTTTGTACACACACGGACTACTGCGATGCATTAGGGGAGACTTGGCTTGCACTGTATTCCTTATCGAACCGAGTCCGCTGCTTCGTTGCTGCCTGTCGTACAAATAGAATCATTCAGTCCCGTCACATCCATCCAGAGACGGCCGGATAGGCACTTTTTCACGCTAACTCATTTCCTGCGATATCGCTGGGCGGAGCTTTCTATGTAGGGTTTGTATCTCCTTGATTAACTGATTTTGTTGTGGCACGGGATTTACGGAGTTCATCCCCTATGAAAAATGTTGCTGGATGATTAGCAACCTTATTATTCTTAGTAGATTCTTGTTTCTGCAAGGCACCCTTATATTCGTTCTGGCTCAGACCACAAACTTGAATGTAGTCGTAATTTTTTCTCACTATGCCTACCCCATTTTAAGCGGTTTTCAATTCTTCTACATACCCTTTTGATTCAAAATTCTCCGTGAATTTATTTTAAATGCGTTATTCCTCGCCAGTTACTATTACTTACTGGTGATCAATCTTCTCCTCTTCTGACTAAATTAAGCCGTGCACTCCAGCCGACACCATTATTTCTGTGTCCGACTCCCTCCGCACCCTAGTTTAGCTCATCATTCCTATGTTCTTTTGATTAATTTTTAACACATGTCAATAAGAAACGATCAGAGTGTCGGTCCTTTTCAAGCGTACTCCATTTTGTTAAACCTGTTCACTACATTTAGATTTCTAGAAAATCTTGCATACAACACCCTCTGTCTCTGCAGGTACCTATCACCCAAATGATTTCCCCAATTCCCTTCTCCTTAGTTAAACTGAATTATTCTAGCCCGGTGATATGTTCATCTACTTATAGGGTGATCATAAACAAGTTGAATGAGAATGATCTTCTCGTAGTTTTGGGCGACCACGGCATGACGGCGTCGGGAGACCATGGCGGTGATAGTTCAGCTGAGCTAGATGCTGCACTTTTCGTCTATTCGTCCCGTGGGTTCCATTCAGCCGGTGAGCAAGGATTCGGAAACGGAACGGCGCGCATTGATCAAATCGACCTGGTACCGACTCTGGCCTCGTTGACCGGTGTCCCGATCCCGTACTCAAGTCTTGGTGTCTGTGTTAAGGAGATCCTGTCACCAGACGTAGATTTTCGTCAGTGTTTACTGGCGAATTTTGTGCAGGTAGGACTCATCCTGATTACTTTGCTCTTTACGTTACACCATCTAAATTCACTTTAGTTCCTCCTATACTTTTTCCCTCTTCTGCCAGGCGGAGATGATGATGGATAAATCCACAGCAGCGGCAGCAGTCTTTTCTGTGAAGTAGGGCACTTTTGGTGTAGTCTCGTAACCATTCTTGGTGTCTTTCTTGAGGAAACATGAGCGGCTTGGATTGTCTGGGTTTGTTTTCTCACAGCTAGCTTTATGTTTTTGAAGAGGGATTTTTGTTCACTTTGGCTATCTGACATCATGAGATATTGGGTTCATTTCTGGATTCGTACAACTCACCTTTACTTTGACCCTTTCTTTTCACCAATCCAGCTCATAGACTACACACTGACTTACTGCCGTGAAATCGGACCGTTCCCAATGGAAAGCGAACTGAAGCAATTTTTCGCTAACATGAGCGTTTTGGACAGATATGGCATTTTGGCAGCCTCACAAACCATAGATTCGAATACAATGGAACACTTGCTCCGCAAGCTACAACAGGCGTTCCGCCAACACTGGACGCGATTCGACCTGCAGAAGATGTGGGCCGGTCTATGTGTGATGTTTTCGACTGTGGTACTTGCTATTTGTCCCTCTCAGAAGTCTGAGTTATCTATTTTTGGGGTACAGCTGTTCACTGCCATCATGCTTCTCCTTGTCCCGACGGTTAACTCAATCGTTCAACTGTCAGTCAGTATCCTTGTATTTGGGTTCGGCTCTGTTAAGTTGTGCGTCGAAGCATTCCGCAATTTGATTTATAGGTCTTCGCATCTTAGTCCGCTGATTCTCGTTGTCTTTTTGGCTGGGAGCCATTTTTCTAACAGCTTCTTAGTTCATGAAATTCAAGTGACTACATATCTCGTCCAGACTCTACTTGTGTATCATTTTGTTCGATCTGTGCTACGGGTTCCCGACCAACTTTCCTGGCTGACTTTCACTTATATCTCTCCTTCCGTTTTCCTCATGCTACTAACACGCTTATCTAGACTTCTCGAAGTTTGCCGTGAGGAATCTTTCCCATCTTCCAGCTGTCGCACGAACACAGACCCTTGGATAACGAAATCGCTAGCAAAGCTTTCCTTCAGTGAAGCGCGTTCAGTGGTCTTGTTTCGGATAGTACTGTCAGTTGGCACACTGATATCGATTATAGCCTTGCATAAAAGTTGGCTTCGAAAACTGGACCCTTTGTTCCGAAAATGTTGGGCAAGTATGTATCTTCTTCAAACAGGAATTATTTTCGCTGGTCTCCTCTTGGTCGGATGTTGGTTTCTGGATGCAGCGCAATCCATTCAATCGCAAGTGAATACTTCATCTTTGTGCGTCAAGTGTTTTTATTATGAACTTGTTTTGATTGCGAACTTGTAGTGTAGTTATCAGTTCTGCCATTTCATCGTTTTATGCAGCTAGTTTGAGAGAAGCACACTGTCACGAAAATGAGGTTTTTATACTTTTATACATCAAAATGTTTCGACTGCGAAACTCCTCTATGACGTCCACTTTTATAAATTCTGTCAAATTCGGTCATCGCAGATTTGCAGCAATCTGTCCGCGCACCACTGTCTTTTCCTAGAGTCATAGAGTGAATGCAATCGTTATTTCAAGATATTTCAATCCACTGCTAGGTGTTGCCTGACGTCGCTCTCTAACAGACATACTCTTGGTATGTCTGTTTTCAGTAGGTTTTGTCAATGATCGCCGTTGAGGAAAACGCTCGGTAATTTTGTTTGACCTTATAGGTGGCCTATATCCATCAATAGACATTAGTAGGGTCCTTTCCCTCTGAAGGAAACACCTTGGAGATTTCTGGTGTTTTCTGATGGATGTGTGGTGAACACGGACCGTACGCTTTCTAACCAAAGAGGGGAGATTTTGTTTCCATTCGGTGTTGAGGTAAGATGGAGTTTTCCATGTCATCCGGACTAGTTGTTTTCGCATATCGGTGATAGACACATACAGGCCTGTGTGATGGCCATCAGCCACTGGCGAGATGGCTCAAGTGGTTAGAGCGCGAATTTACTGACCGGAAGGTCCGTGGTTCGAACCCGACCTCCGCCACTCGACTTCCCCTGTCTAGGCTTGGGCAACCTGACAGTATCCCAGCCCTCGTGCTTCCTTCTGGTGGCATGACAGCTAGGCACCGAAAGGGCGCTACAGCTGAACGATT